GACAGTGACTAGTTGACGTAGTAAGTGAATAGTTGACGTAGTAAGTGACTAAGACAGTGACTAGTTGATGTATTAAGTGAATAGTTGACGTAGTAAGTGACTAAGACAGTGACTAGTTGACGTAGTAAGTGACTAGTTGACGTAGTAAGTGACTAAGATAGTGACCTAGTTGACGTAGTAAGTGACTAGTTGACGTAGTAAGTGACTGAGACAGTGACTAGTTGACGTAGTAAGTGACTAGTTGACGTAGTGAGTGACTCAGACAGTGACTAGTTGACGTAGTAAGTGAATAGTTGACGTAGTAAGTGACTAAGACAGTGACTAGTTGATGTATTAAGTGACTAGTTGACGTAGTAAGTGACTAAGACAGTGACTAGTTGACGTAGTAAGTGACTAGTTGACGTAGTAAGTGACTAAGACAGTGACTAGTTGACGTAGTAAGTGACTAGTTGACGTAGTAAGTGACTGAAGACAGTGACTAGTTAACGTAGTGAGTGACTCAGACAGTGACTAGTTGACGTAGTAAGTGACTAGTTGACGTAGTAAGTGACTAGTTGACGTAGTAAGTGACTAAGACAGTGACTAGTTGACGTAGTAAGTGACTAAGACAGTGACTAGTTGACGTAGTAAGTGACTAGTTGACGTAGTAAGTGACTAGTTGACGCAGTAAGTGACTAAGACAGTGACTAGTTGACGTAGTAAGTGACTAGTTGAAGTAGTAAGTGACTAGTTGACGTAGTAAGTGACTAAGACAGTGACTAGTTGACGTAGTAAGTGACTAGTTGACGTAGTAAGTGACTAAGACAGTGACTAGTTGACGTAGTAAGTGACTACGACAGTGACTAGTTGACGTAGTAAGTGACTAGTTGACGTAGTAAGTGACTAAGACAGTGACTAGTTGACGTAGTAAGTGACTAGTTGACGTAATAAGTGACTAGTTAACGTAGTAAGTGACTAAGACAGTGACTAAGACAGTGACGTAGTAAGTGACTAAGTCAGTGACTAGTTGACGTAGTAAGTGACGATTTGACGTAATAAGTGACTAAGACAGTGACTAGTTAACGTAGTAAGTGACTAGTTGAAGTAGTAAGTGACTAGTTGACGTAGTAAGTGACTAAGACAGTGACTAGTTGACGTAGTAAGTGACTAGTTGACGTAGTAAGTGACTAAGACAGTGACTAGTTGACGTAGTAAGTGACTACGACAGTGACTAGTTGACGTAGTAAGTGACTAGTTGACGTAGTAAGTGACTAAGACAGTGACTAGTTGACGTAGTAAGTGATTAGTTGACGTAATAAGTGACTAGTTAACGTAGTAAGTGACTAAGACAGTGACTAAGACAGTGACGTAGTAAGTGACTAAGACAGTGACTAGTTGACGTAGTAAGTGACTGAGACACTGACTAGTTGACGTAGTAAGTGACTAGTTGACGTAGTAAGTGACTAGTTGACATAGTAAGTGACTAAGACAGTGACTAGTTGACGTAGTAAGTGACTAGTTGACGTAGTAAGTGACTAAGACAGTGACTAGTTGACGTAGTAAGTGACTAGTCGACGTAGTAAGTGACTAAGACAGTGACTAGTTGACGTAGTAAGTGACTAAGACAGTGACTAGTTGACGTAGTAAGTGACTAGTTGACGTAGTAAGTGACTAAGATAGTGACTATTTGACGTAGTAAGTGACTAGTTGACGTAGTAAGTGACTGAGACAGTGACTAGTTGACGTAGTAAGTGACTAGTTGACGTAGTGAGTGACTCAGACAGTGACTAGTTGACGTAGTAAGTGAATAGTTGACGTAGTAAGTGACTAAGACAGTGACTAGTTGATGTATTAAGTGACTAGTTGACGTAGTAAGTGACTAAGACAGTGACTAGTTGACGTAGTAAGTGACTAGTTGACGTAGTAAGTGACTAAGACAGTGACTAGTTGACGTAGTAAGTGACTAGTTGACGTAGTAAGTGACTGAGACAGTGACTAGTTGACGTAGTAAGTGACTAAGACAGTGACTAGTTGACGTAGTAAGTGACTAGTTGACGTAGTAAGTGACTAAGACAGTGACTAGTTGACGTAGTAAGTGACTAGTTGACGTAGTAAGTGACTGAGACAGTGACTAGTTGACGTAGTAAGTGACTAAGACAGTGACTAGTTGACGTAGTAAGTGACTAGTTGACGTACTAAGTGACTGAGACAGTGACTAGTTGACGTAGTAAGTGACTGAGACAGTGACTAGTTAACGTAGTGAGTGACTCAGACAGTGACTAGTTGACGTAGTAAGTGACTAGTTGACGTAGTAAGTGACTAGTTGACGTAGTAAGTGACTAAGACAGTGACTAGTTGACGTAGTAAGTGACTAAGACAGTGACTAGTTGACGTAGTAAGTGACTAGTTGACGTAGTAAGTGACTAGTTGACGCAGTAAGTGACTAAGACAGTGACTAGTTGACGTAGTAAGTGACTAGTTGAAGTAGTAAGTGACTAGTTGACGTAGTAAGTGACTAAGACAGTGACTAGTTGACGTAGTAAGTGACTAGTTGACGTAGTAAGTGACTAAGACAGTGACTAGTTGACGTAGTAAGTGACTACGACAGTGACTAGTTGACGTAGTAAGTGACTAGTTGACGTAGTAAGTGACTAAGACAGTGACTAGTTGACGTAGTAAGTGACTAGTTGACGTAATAAGTGACTAGTTAACGTAGTAAGTGACTAAGACAGTGACTAAGACAGTGACGTAGTAAGTGACTAAGTCAGTGACTAGTTGACGTAGTAAGTGACGATTTGACGTAATAAGTGACTAAGACAGTGACTAGTTAACGTAGTAAGTGACTAGTTGAAGTAGTAAGTGACTAGTTGACGTAGTAAGTGACTAAGACAGTGACTAGTTGACGAAGTAAGTGACTAGTTGACGTAGTAAGTGACTAAGACAGTGACTAGTTGACGTAGTAAGTGACTACGACAGTGACTAGTTGACGTAGTAAGTGACTAGTTGACGTAGTAAGTGACTAAGACAGTGACTAGTTGACGTAGTAAGTGATTAGTTGACGTAATAAGTGACTAGTTAACGTAGTAAGTGACTAAGACAGTGACTAAGACAGTGACGTAGTAAGTGACTAAGACAGTGACTAGTTGACGTAGTAAGTGACTGAGACACTGACTAGTTGACGTAGTAAGTGACTAGTTGACGTAGTAAGTGACTAGTTGACATAGTAAGTGACTAAGACAGTGACTAGTTGACGTAGTAAGTGACTAGTTGACGTAGTAAGTGACTAAGACAGTGACTAGTTGACGTAGTAAGTGACTAGTCGACGTAGTAAGTGACTAAGACAGTGACTAGTTGACGTAGTAAGTGACTAAGACAGTGACTAGTTGACGTAGTAAGTGACTAGTTGACGTAGTAAGTGACTAAGATAGTGACTAGTTGACGTAGTAAGTGACTAGTTGACGTAGTAAGTGACTGAGACAGTGACTAGTTGACGTAGTAAGTGACTAGTTGACGTAGTGAGTGACTCAGACAGTGACTAGTTGACGTAGTAAGTGAATAGTTGACGTAGTAAGTGACTAAGACAGTGACTAGTTGATGTATTAAGTGACTAGTTGACGTAGTAAGTGACTAAGACAGTGACTAGTTGACGTAGTAAGTGACTAGTTGACGTAGTAAGTGACTAAGACAGTGACTAGTTGACGTAGTAAGTGACTGAGACAGTGACTAGTTGATGTAGTAAGTGACTAAGACAGTGACTAGTTGACGTAGTAAGTGACTAGTTGACGTAGTAAGTGACTAAGACAGTGACTAGTTGACGTAGTAAGTGACTAGTTGACGTAGTAAGTGACTAAGACAGTGACTAGTTGACGTAGTAAGTGACTAAGACAGTGACTAGTTGACGTAGTAAGTGACTAGTTGACGTAGTAAGTGACTAGTTGACGTAGTAAGTGACTCAGACAGTGACTAGTTGACGTAGTAAGTGACTAGTTGACGTAGTAAGTGACTCAGACAGTGACTAGTTGACGTAGTAAGTGACTAGTTGACGTAGTAAGTGACTAGTTGACGTAGTAAGTGACTAAGACAGTGACTAGTTGACGTAGTAAGTGACTAGTTGACGTAGTAAGTGACTAGTTGACTTAGTAAGTGACTAAGACAGTGACTAGTTGACGTAGTAAGTGACTAGTTGACGTAGTAATTGACTAAGACAGTGATTAGTTGACGTAGTAAGTGACTAGTTGACGTAGTAAGTGACTAGTTGACGTAGTAAGTGACTAAGACAGTGACTAGTTGACGTAGTAAGTGACTAGTTGACGTAGTAAGTGACTAGTTGACGTAGTGAGTGACTCAGACAGTGACTAGTTGACGTAGTAAGTGACTAGTTGACGTAGTAAGTGACTAAGACAGTGACTAGTTGACGTAATAAGTGACTCAGACAGTGACTAGTTGACGTAGTAAGTGACTAGTTGACGTAGTAAGTGACTGAGACAGTGACTAGTTGACGTAGTGAGTGACTAGTTGACGTAGTAAGTGACTAGTTGACGTAGTAAGTGACTGATACAGTGACTAGTTGACGTAGTAAGTGACTAAGACAGTGACTAGTTGACGTAGTAAGTGACTAAGACAGTGACTAGTTGACATAGTAAGTGACTAGTTGACGTAGTAAGTGACTAGTTGTCGTAGTGAGTGACTCAGACAGTGACTAGTTGACGTAGTAAGTGACTAGTTGACGTAGTAAGTGACTCAGACAGTGACTAGTTGACGTAGTAAGTGACTAGTTGACGTAGTAAGTGACTAAGACAGTGACTAGTTGACGTAGTAAGTGACTAAGACAGTGACTAGTTGACGTAGTAAGTGACTCAGACAGTGACTAGTTGACGTAGTAAGTGACTAGTTGACGTAGTAAGTTACTAAGACAGTGACTAGTTGACGTAGTAAGTGACTAAGACAGTAACTAGTTGACGTAGTGAGTGACTGAGACAGTGACTAGTTGACGTAGTAAATGACTAGTTGACGTAGTAATTGACTAGTTGACGTAGTGAGTGACTAGTTGACGTAGTAAGTGACTAGTTGACGTAGTGAGTGACTCAGACAGTGACTAGTTGACGTAGTAAGCCCAGTAGACAATGTTGAACAGCACAAAGGCGGACGGGAAGGCGATGCGGGATCCACGGTCGATGTTGTTCACGTCCGCAATGAGCGGCGACCGCGGCCGCTTCGGCGGCGGCGGCGGTCCGCCCACTCCGCCGCTGGGGTTGGGGGGTCGCCCGGAACGTCGGCGGGGCCAAGCCGGGCGGTGCCGCCGGAAGAAGGAGCCGTGGTCGGCGTTGGACGGCAGCGGCGGCGGTGATGGCGGTGATGGCGGTGAGTTGTTGGCGGAGTCTGCGGAGTTGGTGGAGTCGGGTTCGCGGTGCGGACCGTGGGGGGCCGGGCGCTTCCGATTGGGGGGCAGAGAGAGGGGGGGCTCCTTCGTGGGGAGCGTGGGGGGGGGGGGGTAGGGGGGGTGAGGGGGGGGGGGGGGGGGTGAGGGGCACAGGGGGAGGGGCACACGTTGAGGTCTCTAGAGGCGCGGCACGGACACACAACACTCAGCTCTCTACTCACTCACTACTCACTCTCTACTCACTCTCTACTCACTCACTACTCACTCTCTACTCACTCACTACTCACTCACTACTCACTCTCTACTCACTCACTACTCACTCTCTACTCACTCACTACTCACTCACTACTCACTCTCTACTCACTCTCTACTCACTCACTACTCACTCTCTACTCACTCACTACTCACTCTCTACTCACTCTCAACTCACTCACTACCCACTCTCTACTCACTCACTACTCACTCTCTACTCACTCTCTACTCACTCACTACTCACTCTCTACTCACACACTACTCACTCTCTACTCACTCTCTACTCACTCACTACTCACTCACTACTCACTCTCTACTCACTCACTACTCACTCTCTACTCACTCACTACTCAATCACTACTCACTCACTACTCACTCTCTACTCACTCGCTACTCACTCACTACTCACTCTCTACTCACTCTCTACTCACTCACTACTCACTCTCTACTCACTCTCTACTCACTCTCTACTCACTCACTCTCTACTCACTCTCTACTCACTCTCTACTCTCTCTACTCACTCTCTACCCACTCACTACTCACTCACTCTCTACTCACACGCTACTCACTCACTACTCACTCTCTACTCACTCTCTACTCACTCTCTACTCACTCTCTACTCTCTCTCTACCCACTCACTACTCACTCACTCTCTACTCACTCTCTACTCACTCTCTACTCACTCACTCTCTACTCTCTACTCACTCACCACTCACTCTCTACTCACTTTCTACTCACTCACTACTCACTCTCTACTCACTCACTACTCACTCACTACTCACTCTCTACTCACTCTCAACTCACTCACTACCCACTCTCTACTCACTCACTACTCACTCTCTACTCACTCTCTACTCACTCACTACTCACTCTCTACTCACTCACTACTCACTCTCTACTCACTCTCTACTCACTCACTACTCACTCACTACTCACTCTCTACTCACTCACTACTCAATCTCTACTCACTCACTACTCACTCACTACTCACTCTCTACTCACTCACTACTCACTCTCTACTCACTCACTACTCACTCTCTACTCACTCTCTACTCACTCTCTACTCACTCACCACTCACTCTCTACTCACTCTCTACTCACTCACTACTCACTCTCTACTCACTCTCTACTCACTCACTACTCACTCTCTACTCACTCTCTACTCACTCTCTACTCACTCACTACTCACTCTCTACTCGCTCTCTACTCACTCTCTACTCACTATCTACTCACTCACTACTCACTCTCTACTCACTCTCTACTCACTCACTACTCACTCTCTACTCACTCTCTACTCACTCACTACTCACTCTCTACTCACTATCTACTCACTCACTACTCACTCTCTACTCACTCTCTACTCACTCTCTACTCACTGTCTACTCACTCACTACTCACTCTCTACTCACTCACTACTCACTCACTCTCTACTCACTCACTACTCACTCTCTACTCACTCACTACTCACTCTCTACTCACTCTCTACTCACTCACTACTCACTCACTACTCACTCTCTACTCACTCACTACTCACTCTCTACTCACTCTCTACTCACTACTCTCTACTCACTCTCTACTCACTCTCTACTCACTCACTACTCACTACTCTCTACTCACTCTCTACTCACTCTCTACTCACTCTCTACTCACTCACTACTCACTCACTACTCGCTCTCTAATCACTCACTACTCACTCTCTACTCACTCTCTACTCACTCTCTACTCACTCTCTAATCACTCACTACTCACTCTCTACTCACTCTCTAATCACTCTCTACTCACTCACTACTCACTCTCTACTCACTCACTACTCACTCACTACTCACTCTCTACTCACTCTCTACTCTCTACCCACTCCCTACTCACTCTCTACTCACTCCCTACTCACTCTCTACTCACTCACTACTCACTCTCTACTCTCTCACTACTCACTCTCTACTCACTCACTACTCACTCACTACTCACTCTCTACTCACTCACTACCCACTCTCTACTCACTCACTCTCTACTCTCTACTCACTCTCTACTCACTCTCTACTCACTCACTACTCACTCTCTACTCACTCTCTATTCACTCACTACTCACTCTCTACTCACTCACTACTCACTCTCTACTCACTCACTACTCACTCTCTACTCACTCACTCTCTACTCACTCACTACTCTCTACTCACTCACTACTCACTCACTACTCACTCTCTACTCACTCTCTACTCACTCTCTAATCACTCTCTACTCACTCACTACTCACTCTCTACTCACTCACTACTCACTCTCTACTCACTCTCTACTCTCTACTCACTCCCTACTCACTCTCTACTCACTCACTACTCACTCTCTACTCTCTCACTACTCACTCTCTACTCACTCACTACTCACTCACTACTCACTCTCTACTCACTCACTACTCACTCTCTACTCACTCACTCTCTACTCTCTACTCACTCTCTACTCTCTCACTACTCACTCTCTACTCACTCTCTATTCACTCACCACTCACTCTCTACTCACTCACTACTCACTCTCTACTCACTCACTACTCACTCTCTACTCACTCACTACTCACTCACTACTCACTCTCTACTCACTCTCTACTCACCCTCTACTCACTCTCTACTCACTCACTACTCACTCTCTACTCACTCTCTACTCACTCTCTACTCACTCTCTACTCACCCTCTACTCACTCTCTACTCACTCACTACTCACTCTCTACTCACTCTCTACTCACTCTCTACCCACTCACTACTCACTCTCTACTCACCCTCTACTCACTCTCTACTCACTCACTACTCACTCTCTACTCACTCTCTACTCACTCACCACTCACTCTCTACTCACTCTCTACTCACTCACTACTCACTCTCTACTCACTCTCTACTCACTCACTACTCACTCACTACTCACTCACCACTCACTCTCTACTCACTCTCTACTCACTCTCTACCCACTCACCACTCACTCTCTACTCACTCTCTACTCACTCACTACTCACTCACTACTCACTCTCTACTCACTCACTACTCACTCTCTACTCACTCTCTACTCACTCACCACTCACTCTCTACTCACTCTCTACTCACTCTCTACTCTATACTCACTCTCTACTCACTCTCTACTCACTCACTACTCACTCTCTACTCACTCTCTACTCACTCACAATCACTCTCTACTCACTCTCTACTCACTCACTACTCACTCTCTACTCACTCACTATCACTCTCTACTCACTCACTACTCACTCTCTACCCACTCTCTACTCACTCACTACTCACTCTCTACTCTCTCTCTACTCACTCACTACTCACTCTCTACTCACTCACCACTCACTACTCACTCTCTACTCACTCATTACTCACTCTCTACTCACTCTCTACTCACTCTCAACTCACTCTCTACTCACTCTCTACTTACTCTCTACTCACTCACTACTCACTCTCTACTCACTCCCTACCCACTCACTACTCACTCTCTACTCACTCTCTACTCACTCACTCTCTACTCACTCTCTACTCACTCTCTACTCACTCACCACTCACTCTCTACTCACTCTCTACTCACTCTCCACTCACTCACTTCTCACTCTCTACTCACTACTCACTCTCTACTCACTCTCTACTCACTCTCTACTCACTACTCACTCTCTACTCACTCTCTACTCACTCACCACTCACTCTCTACTAACTCTCTACTCACTCACTACTCTCTACTCACTCTCTACTCACTCACTACTCACTCTCTACTCACTCTCTACTCTCTACTCACTCTCTACTCACTCACTACTCACTCTCTACTCACTCTCTACTCACTCTCTACTCACTCACCACTCACTCTCTACTCACTCACTACCCACTCTCTACTCACTCACTACTCACTCTCTACTCACTCTCTACTCTCTACTCACTCACCACTCACTCTCTACTCACTCACTACTCACTCTCTACTCACTCACTACTCACTCTCTACTCACTCCCTACTCACTCTCTACTCACTCACTACTCACTCTCTACTCACTCTCTACTCACTCACTCTCTACTCACTCTCTACTCACTCTCTACTCGATCACTACTCACTCTCTACTCACTCACTACTCACTCTCTACTCACTTCCTACACACTCTCTACTCACTCTCTACCCACTCTCTACTCACTCTCTACTCTCTACTCACTCGCTACTCACTCTCTACCCACTATCTACTCGCTCTCTACTCACTCTCTACTCTCTACTCACTCGTTACTCACTCTATACTCTCTACTCACTCGCTACTCACTCTCTACTCACTCTCTACTCACTCTCCACTCACTCTCTACTCACTCTCTAACCACTCTCTACTCACTCTCTACTCACTCTCTACTCACTCACTACTCACTCTCTACTCACTCTCTACTCTCTACTCACTCTCTACTCACTCTCTTCTCACTCTCTACTCTCTACTCACTCACTACTCACTCACCACTCACTCTCTACTCACTCTCTACTCACTCTCTACTCACTCACTACCCACTCTCTACTCACTCACTACTCATTCTCTACTCACTCACTACTCACTCTCTACTCACTCTCTACTCACTCACTCACCACTCTCTACTCACTCTCTACTCACTCTCTACTGAGCTCTCTACTCACTCACTATCACTCTCTACTCACTCTCTACTCACTCTCTACTCACTCACTACTCACTCTCTACTCACTCACTACCCACTCTCTACTCACTCACTACTCACTCTCTACTCACTCTCTACTCACTCACCACTCTCTACTCACTCTCTACTCACTCACTACTCACTCTCTACTCACTCTCTACTCACTCACAATCACTCTCTACTCAC